TATAAAAAAGGGAACTAAAACAGAAATTGCTAGAAAAGTTCAGCGGGCCTGGCAGCCTTTGTGAAGAGAAAACAGAGTTAATATTTCAGGTCAGGTGACCCTTCCTCAGAAGTGATGGTAGCTAGGAAAATGTTGGTTTTTATGCAGAAGATAGGGTGGACAAGGTGGTAAGGAGTAAACAATAGGTGGGGATAGAGCCAAAGAGAGAGAAGAACAGTTGGTCAGGCAAAGGAATGGATAACGATCTAGTTAGGAGGATGAATAGCTGTTAATGGAGACGGTTATTGGCTAAAAATGGGTTGTGTAAAAGCAGACTGTGTAAAACAAGGCCTGATGTGTGGGGCGGGGGCTAGGACATAGGAAGTTCAAGCCCTAAAGTTATTGAACCTGATGTGAAGTCCAGAAGATTGCAGAGTCCCAAACAGAAAATAATGTGTTGCTCTTCCAGCTTGCACTGAGTTTTGTTAGAGCACTGTAGCAAGCTTGAGACAGAGACATGGCCAGGGAATAGGGTGGTGTGTTTAAGTGGCAGGCAACTGGAAGCTCAGGGTCATTTTTCCAGGCAGTACATAGATGTTCTGTGAAGCGGTCACCCAGTCTACGTTTCGTTTCCCCAATGTAGAGGGGACCACATTGTGAACAGCAAATGCAGTAGACTAGATTGTGTGATGTGCAGGCAAAGTGCTGCTTCACCTGGAAGATACATGTTTGGGCCCTTGCATACTGAGGAGGAGAAGGTAAATGGACAAGCATTACACCTTCAGCGAGTGCAGGGGAAGGTGCTGGCAGGCTGTGGGGGTTGGTGTCAGAAGTAAAGGAAGAGTAGATCAGGGTATCCTGGAGGGATCAGTCACTGCAGAAGGCAGACAAGGGAGGGGAGGGAATGTGTGTCTTTTGGTGGCACCTCGCTGGAGATGGCAGAAATGGTGGCTAATGATCTTCCAGATGTGGATGCTGGTGGGATGGTGGTCAAGGACAGAGGTGGGGGATGAGGGCCGAAATGCAGGAGATGGGTCGGATCTGGTTGAGGGTCCTGTCAACAACAGTGCTGGGGAATCCTCGGTCGAGGAAGATGATGGATGTTTCAGAGGGTCCCTCATCGAAGTTGGCATCATCAGAACATATGCGACGGAGACGGAGGAACAAAAGGGAGCTACTGGATTTGCTGACATTAATCTTCAAAATATCTTTGGATGGTCACTACTGTCTGTGTAAAATTAAATCTAAACTGTATTTGTTTTCCTGTCAGAGGTAAAAAGTCTTTGCCCACTTTCCATGGAGTTTGCCATTATGCCCATCAATTTTATTAGGGTATAGTTTATTTAGTGATAGTAGGAACTGCAGTTTATTTAGTGTTCTTTTTTCCTCCAGGATAAACTTTCCTAGATTCCTGACATACATTTAAAAAAAAAGTTGTATATTTTTGCTGTATGATTTATATAATGTAATTGCTAATATTGGAGTTTGTATTAAGGTATGTAAGCAAAACTGAAACACCTCATAAGCAAGAATTCTCTCCAAAACATTACTTTAATGAGTGTTTCCATTTTCCCACAATTTGTTCGGCATGCATTAGCTTAGCCATATTCTTTAAACAAAAGATAAATGGATTATCAATGTTTACAAACTTTCTGGTTGATAGTTTAACATAACATTATTAATAGTTACTTTCCATGAGTCCAGAAAATATCATTCATACAGCTCAGATTAAATGTGAATGGGAAGTACTGCTATGTTATTACTTGTTGTGGAAATCAATTACTGGTTATAATATTAATCAGTCACTTGCATGCAACAAGATTATAGTACATAATAATTGTCACTGACTCAAGTTGTGGAATTTGTACAGTAAAAACTGTCAGTGTTTGCTGTCGTTATTCTTTTGTAAAGGCCACTTAAATTTATGCACTGCAAACTACGAATGGGAGAAGATATTGCTTTAAACCAAGGAAACTATGGAAGATATTTCAGTTTTGAAAACAAGTTACCGGAACATTTTGCAAGTTGAGGAAGCATTTCAGAGAGAATGGCACCACATGTACATGGGTCAGGCAGTTTTGCCCAGAGACAGTCTTTTGATCGGAAAAATCAAATCAGGACCAGCTGTGTTCACCATAGTAACACCCAGTTGACTGGTTCCTGGACAGGTTGCTACATCCTTGGGTGAGGTCAATCCAGCAGAAATATTCAAACCGCAAAGACTAAGCATCCATCTTTCCCTCTAGACAAACCCTCAACCAGTCAACAAAAGAAAGACAGAGGGCCAGTGTATCCATAAACTTGAGTTATCAGCAAAGAATCAGAAGTCAAAAAAGCCAAAATTAAAGAATTGCTTGATGGTTGTGATTCAGACTAGTGCCAGAACAGTGTGTCTGATTTTTCTCCCCACTTTCCCCATCCTTAACATTTCTGTCTTGTTTTGTCTCAGTGTCTATTTGTATGTGTACATGTGCGGGAATTTTAAGATGAGGTAGCATTTAAGTTACAGAGTTATAAGTTAGCATGTTCTTTCATGACCTTCAAACAAACAAACAAATTACAATAACTAGGCATTCTTGTTAACAAAAAAAAACCTGGTGTCCTTATTCTTTTAACCGGAATTACAGAGTTAGGTAACATTGAGCAATTGCAGTGGTTCCATAAAATTTTAACATTTGCAATGACTTGTAGCGCACTACTCCAGTGAGTCATGACACTTCGAACACAGCAACTCAAGTAATCTGTATTTGAGTAGTTATACACAGGAATTCAAAAGTTGCTGTCAGCGATTCTATGCTACCCCACAGAACGCACTGCCAACATATCCTGCAGACTGCAATAAAGTAGAAACGTCGCAAATGAAATGAAGTTGTCTTTTTATTAGTCTTGCTGTTAAAAGTCCTTGATAAATTGCACTTTCTTCAAAACAAAAGATAACTGGGTTTTTAAAACAGAATACGAAGATCACTATTACTAGCAATTAACCTTACTAGCACTGAAAAATATGCTTTTAAATATTGGTAACAAATTTCCCCATAAAGTAAAAAAATGATTTTTAAACTTATGATAGGATTGAGGTAGAAGATGATGAACTTTGTGAATGGCCCAATCATTTATTTTTCAAACAGTAAAGCTTAGCATTAAAAGTGTATTTTACTTCCTGGTTTGCTGCCCGAGGATATTTCTGCGTAAACGGTCGTTTAACCTGCTTGATAATAATTTTTGCCGAATGCCAGGAGATCCCCTCACTTTAGCACCATCTTAAAACTGATACAATGAAAGGAGAAATCCATTCCACGTATCATTTAGGTATTTGTGGACTGCTTTAAAATCAACACTACAAATTTTTGGCATTACGTACTTAGTCTTCTAGCTCCAACCTATGATACAACTCTTTGCTTCATCCTCTTCCCAATACAACCAAGCTCCACCCTCCCAATCCCTACGGCACCAAAAAAAAAGAGGAAAAATGGACACAATAGAATTAGGAGATTGCAGAAATTGGACAAGGAGAGTGTGGAACATCCTAAGACTATAACCAAGTATCTGAAGAACTGAACTATATTTTTTATCACCACATGACAATATTCATCATAGAAAAAAAATGTCCCTGCACTTAGTAGTGCATAGTATGTGACTGAGCTCAGGCTCGCACTTAACAATTGAATCAGATGGTGATGGATTTAGAAACCCAAGCATTTGGGTGAGGATAATCACTTCAGTACAGTGTTGGGAAAGTGCTATAGTTAGAGATACTATCTTTCCAATGTGATTTTAAACTGAACTTTCCTCTCAGGTGGATATAAATGATGCCATGGCACTT